GGGAAAATTGGAAACTAAATCATTGCATCTGTCTCCTTACCGGGTCAGGATATGTTCCCATAGAGGAATTATTTCGATGTTGGAGATTGACTGGTTCTACTGTGGATCTCGTCTGGAAGACTGCGAAGCTGTACTGGATGTACTGGCCTTCTGCCAAGCACTGTGTGCACATTAGCAACAATGTGCCCATGCTCACATTGCTCAGGAGTCATCTAATGCTAAGAGCTTAGATTTAGCATTAGGAGAGCCCTGGAGAATGCTTCTAGTCTGTTCTGAGCAGCAGAATTGATCATTTAAAAAATTCTCACTGGAGGCTCAGACCTTCACATCTTCTTTTCTCTCTTAAGACACTCATTAAATAAAGGTGTTGTGGAATGGAACAGTGTAGGTCAGCTTCAGGGAGTGCCTGTCACACCAAATGGACATATTATGCTTTTTTTTTTTTTTTTTTGATGCTGAGGATTGAAATCAGGGCACGTGCTTTATGCAAGACTATCTATTTTTAAAAGTGTTATTCTTCTTGGTGTGGAATTTATGGTGTTTCATGAAGCTGCTGGTCTAGCTTTGGAGAGACTGTGAAACAAACTTAACATTATAACATCAAATATTCTAGTAGGCAGTGGAGCAGTTGAGTGCATCATTTTAATAAATAGGTCAAACATATAGCAATTTTCTGGGGGTAGAAACAGGAGCTCTGAAAAGAAGAAAGGAGAGCAGGGTAAACAGGACTCTTTTAGTGTTCATCAAATGGCTGTCCTCAATATTTATGGGATCTTAGTTGGTATTAGAAGAATCATAACCAATGTAAAAAAAGAAAGTGTACTGAGAAAACCAAAGGTATTGTTTTAGTCAGCTTTTTTTGCTACTGTGACCGAAAGACTGATAAGAACAACAAAAAGGAGGCAAAGTTTATTTGGGGGCTCACGGTCTCAGAGGTCTCAGACCACATATGGCTATCTCTATTCCTTAGGGATTGAGGTGAGGCAGATGTCATGACAGAAGAGCATGGTGGAGGACAGTAGCTCAGGACATCATAACAAGAAACAGAGAGAAAAAGACAGCTCAACTCACCACGGACAAAATATAAACCCAAGGGCATATCCCCATTGGTCCACCTCCTCCAGCCACACCCCTACCTGCTTCTATTTACCACCCAGTTAATCCCTAACAGGAGGCTGATGTACTGATTAGGTTAAAGCTTTCATAACCCAATCATTTCATCTCTAAATTTTCTTGCATTGTCTCACACCTGATATTTGGGGGGCACCTAATCTAAACCATAACAGTATGATATTTGTTCAGTGTTTTGGCCAATGCTTTAAGTGGCACACAGGCAGTGAAAAACATGTTCAGAGGTAAGTAATATAAGAGACAGCACATAAAGAATTATTTAATTGGGGCTGGGGTTATGGCTCAGCTATAGAGCACTCGCCTCACATGTGCAAGGCCCTGGGTTCGAACCTCAGCACCACATAAAAATAAATAAATAAAATAAAGTTTAAAAAAGAGAATTTTTTTAATCAAAGAATATATATTAAGCTAAGTTCTGAGCTGTGGACTAGAGATACAGAGATGAATATAATACCTTCCCTGTCCTCAGGGATGACATAGTCAGAGTAGCTGAAAGAACTAAAGATTTGTCTTTTTATCTAGCTAGTATTTGGAAAATCATCTTCTGGAAGAAGGATTAGTGATGGTGTTTGTGTTACTGAAGGTGGAATTAAATCCAGTGGGTGGAATTAAATCCAACGGGTAGAAGCCTCAAAGACTCATATTAGCTTAATATGAGACTAACATTATGAACAGTGAGAGGTAACTGAAGGTGTGTTGGACAGCACAAGGAAGTCATGGGGCTCAGGTTCTCAGGCTTTTGGGAACAGGCCTGATGATCCCTTAACAGGAACACAGGGGCAGTGGAAATAGTGAATGAGACACACACACCCCCTGTTGATTCACTACTTACTCTACTATATACAGTACACCAAAGTCCCAAATTTTATGGACATCCTGGTGAGCAAACCCAAGACCCTCTCTCATGTAGCTTATACCTAGTGGGAAGGACAAACATTAATTGACCAATCACAAGAACATGTAAAACTGCAATGAGGAAGACACGTGGGATTACAAGAGCAGGTAACAAGGTGTTTTACCTTATTGGGGGAGGCCAGGGAAAACTTTGATGAAGAACTCTCTTGATCAGGCTGAGATCCAATGGATGAGTGGGAATATAGGAGGCTGTTCCAGGCAAAAGGAGAGACTATGCAGGGTTCCTCAGATGACAGTGGGGTGGCTCTCAAGGAACTTTAAGGTCCCTTCATTCCTTTCTTCCTTCCAATTTTATTTATTTGTTGAATGAGCAATACATAATAGAACAAACTCAAAAGTACAGAAAGGCATAGAATGAAAAGTAAGTCTTTCCCTCTACCCTGACTTTCCAGAGACAGTCACTGTTGGAAATTTTTTTTTTGATCCTTCTGGAGGTAATTGACACATCAATAAATATTCCCTTTTCTCCCCTCTATAAAATTGTAGTACCCTATACATCATTCTGCATTGTACTTTATTCTCCTAACAATGAATCTTGAGGCTTTTTTCATCACATTTAAAGCAGTTCTATGGTTCTTTAGTAGCCACACAGCAATCCACCGAAGGAGGCACCATCGTTTATTTAGACTCTCTTTTACAGAGGATTGCAAGCAAAGCAGCAATGAATATCTTTATGAGCACACAATTTTTCACATGTGTGCATTTGTGTGTGAAGTAAGCTTTTGTGTTTTTTCTTACAAAAAAGCTTTTCATGTCATTTTTTATTATAAGAGTAATAATAGATGCTTATAGGAAAATATTTAAACACTGCAGAAATACATAATGTGGAATGTGAAAGTGCTCAACCTCACCCTCCATAACTACTCTGGTTATCAGTTCTCTAGGTGATTTCTAATCAATATATTCTCCAAGTAATGGGTCTATAGCTTTCATTAGATTCATATAGGAATATATGAACACCAAAAGTTAAAAGCATTCACTGCTAGAGAGAAGCCATAGGTAAGTTTCATTTTCACTTAACAGTGGTGTTAAATCCTACCAACTACACCAAAAAGAGAAAAGGGAAAAGGAAAAAATGAAAGAAAAAAGAGTGATATTAATCTTGGTAGAAGGCTTTTCCAAGAGCTCCTTTAATATTGCAAAACTTGAATAAATTATTTAACCTCATCCATAAAATAGGGACAATAATAGTAACTCATAGGGTGGTTACAAGGATTAAATAAGTTAATATTTTCAAGCACTTAGAAAAGCTCCTGTCAAATCATAAGCCCTTTGTACATATTTATAAAGTATCCTAGGTCATATGTGCCCTGCCTGCCCCAATCCCAATAAGAAAACCAAGGTCTAAAGAGCTACAGACTCTTGACAAGCAGCCCGGACCTTCTGAATAATTCCCAGTACAGCCTCTCACCCAGGGCAGCATGCTATCCCTATCTAGAGACCAAAACATATCATCTAGGTCATATGAGGAAGTAGGTAGGCAAGAGAATGTTGAAGTGCTGCAATAAAACTTGATGTTAATTACCCAGCTAGCAGGGACAATCTTTGATAATTTAGAAAAAGCAAATTATATGCAATAAATAAATGTGTGTGTGTGTGTGTGTGTGCGCGCACGCGTGCCACATTTTAGTAAGAAATTGATTTTAAATTAAGGGATTTTTTTTTCCAACAGCAGGAGAAGAGCTACCTCTGTTTTAGTCTGCTTTTTCATCTCTGTGACCAAAAGATCTGACAAGAACAATTAAAGGCATAAAAGAAAAAGTTTATTTGGGGCTCATGGCTTCAGAGGTTCAGTCAACGGATGGCTGACTCCATAGCTCTGGGCCCAAAATGAGGAAGAACATCACAGTGGAAGGGTGGAATGGGGGAAAGCAGCTCAGGACATGGCAAGTAGGAAGCAGAGAGAGAGCTTCACTCACCAGGAAAAAAATGTAAACTCCAAAGGCATACCCCATTGACCTATCTTCTCCAGCCACATTCTGCCTGCCTTCATATACCACCCAATGGATTAATGCCATTGATTAGGTTACAGTCCTCATGAACTAATCGTTTTGCTTCTGAACATTCTTGCATTGTCTTACACATGAGCTTTTGGGGGACACCTTATATCCAAACCATAAAAACCTCTAAAACTAATATAATTGAAACTCACAGTTCAAGATGTCTAATCAGCCAGAATTGTAATTACCTTACACTTTATCCACCATGACTCCTTGCCAAAAAGCAAACAACACATACACTTACAGACACATATGCACATATGTTATTTTACTAAATATGGAATAATGCAATTGAATTTTGTTATCTAAAAAGTACTTTAAATATTTTGGATACTTCAAGGGCTATTGAAAAGGTAATGCACGCTTCCATCCCAGGTCTTTATTTTCCTCCTTCCATCTCATGTTGCAGTACCAGAGCCAGTATTTAAAAAGCATAATGTTGCAGTACAGTCAAGTCCCAACCTTGCACTCACCAAACTTTAAGCATGGGAATGAATTCAGTTCTGAGCACAAGTATTGTGCAAGTATATTCACAAATATTGAGCCTCTAGGCCATGCCCGAAGCCTGGTATCAAGCAGAGAAATCAGATAGAGTCCCATGTCTCTCCCCATGTCAGCTTGTCTGTAAAATAAAATGCTTGAATGAGATGGCTAATCCATTTTTTCCCAGCTCTGAGTTCTATGATTCCTCTGATGTTGAAGTAAAACCAAGGAATTATTTGCAAATAGAAGTTCTTCAGAAATACTGATCAGTAGCTTTCATGATGATCAAATCGCTACACAAATCCTGTTCCATCTACAGTGCTTTGTCACTTGAATCATTAACAATGTAATCAATACTAATGATGTATCATTCATAATGACAGGCTATTGGTACAGTGCTTCATAATATCAATAACTCCTTATGCAACCCTGGTCAGAGAACACTAATGTCCCCATTTCTCTTTTTTACAGGAAACTGAGGTGGAGAAAAGATTGAAGATAGCAGAGTAGAGATTTGAACTCAGGTCTGACTTCTTATCAGGGCTCTTCCTGCCTACACTATCTCTCCACTTATTAAATGCTTCTGGGTATTATCCCTGCTGTGCATCTAAGGCGTCCCTTCCCTCTACACAGGGGCCATTCTATGTGTTTTCTTTATTCTACCCCCAGTGTCTTGCCTGGTGGGCACCTGCTTTTCTCTGGTGCAGGCCTCTTTCCACATTTGTTTGCCAAGGCAGGGAGGCTGCTCTTGGGTGGATCATGGCTCTGTGGACAGACCCAAAAGAAAGCCGTTTTTATTTTATTTATTTTTTTAATAAACTGGCCTGTGGACTGATAGCTGTTTTTGCAAATAGTCTTTTTTAGAAAAATATTTATTTATTTATTTTTAGTTCTCGGCGGACACAACATCTCTGTTTATATGTGGTGCTGAGGGTCGAATGAACCCGGGCCGCACGCATGCCAGGCGAGCGCACTACCGCTTGAGCCACATCCCCAGCCCGAAAGCCATTTTTAAAAGTTCCTGCTTGCCTGCTTCCTAGACCTAGAGAGACACAGATGCAGGGCTCCTGCTGCCTGCACTGTCAACTCCATTTCCCAGGCCCGAAGCACAAACCAAGAATTCTTTGTCCATCTTATCCCAGCACCATCAGGCCCTGAATTTTTCATTGAAACTCCCTGAAGGAAGCTTGTTATCAGCTGGACTTGCTCTATTTAAGGTTTTAATCTCAGTGAAGATGAATGGGTCATTTAAGTGCTTCTGTGTGTGACTCTGAGAAGCCAGCGGTGGAGATTGCTGGGCCAGCCTGCCTCAGCCATCCAAGGCATGTTCCACTGGAGGCCAGCCCCCAAGGGACATTTCCAATGGTAATAATTTTAAAATGTACTTATGCTTAGGCAATGGCAATGGAAATATTTCTCAAAGCACAGTACACTCAAACCATCTAGTTGGGGCAGGCACTATTGGCCTCTTTTATGGTCGAGGGAAAGGAGGATTAGCCTTGGGAACTCAGGGGCCCAGGCAGCTAGGCAGTTGCATTTTTGAAATGGAAATGCAGATCTCCAAGACTCATCTCTGTGATCTCCACATTCTACTGGCTTTAGACTACCCTAGAGAGCTGGCCAGGTTTATTTCATATTCAGCCTCTGCCTTTATCTCCACCTTTCTCACTTAGAAAATCTGAAGTACAGCCCTTGCGAGGTACTTGGGTGCCTCCTGGTGTCAGGTTCAGCAGCCTCCCGTTCCCATAGGATGTTGCATAGGTTAGCCACTAGAGGGATTCTTTTCAAAGTTAAAAACTGTGTGTGTGTGTGTGTGTGTGTGTATGTATGAGAGAGAGAGAGAGAGAGAGAGAGAGAGAGAGAGAGAGAGAGAAGGGGGTGGATTTCAAAGCTCCATTACTAGATTCTTCATGAGAGAGTAGGTAGTAGGGGATGCTGACCTGGATTGAGTGGCTAGATATTCACTCAGGCAGGTGGGATCAGGCACTGGGGAGCGGGGAGGAGAGTGTTAATAGGAGAAGGGAGGGAACATGAGAAAATCTGGTATAGACCTCCCTTACTTCCCTAACACTCTCTATACTAATTCAGGGACTGAAGAGACTGGAGACATTTTGTTGTTGTTTTTTTAAGTTAGGACTTGAATACTTTGCTTTCCTAACTCAAGAACTCAGGGACCAAACACTCTTAGATACCACAGTGTCCCTCTCTAAATTTACCTTCCAAACTTAGGAATCAAGTAGATTATATTCTATACTTTAGGAGAAAAATGATCCATTGAGATATAATATTTGGTGATACCTGACTCAGTATTTAAAAAGCATAATTGTTAGGCTTATGGAATTAAATTTATTACTTAACAATTACAATGATGAATATATGTATCTTTTAGGCTCTTATGCTTTATTCTATAAAATCAGAATGGTGACAACATGGTTTGTAACTGGCATTGTTTTCATGACCACATTTTGGGTATTTCTTGAATCTAGTTCGACTTCTTCAATATCGTTGCCAGTGTTTTCTTATCTAGTGGGGCAATCAAATTGCATGACCAGGTGTGCCTGTTCATCTCGCTTTTTTGTTGTCACAGGTGTCCACACAAGGACCTGCCTTTCTATCTCCTTTGCTTTCCCTTCTTTTTGCTTTCCTGAACTATAATCCTTAGAATTGGTGCTATAGACCTCCATGCTGGAGAATGTACTACATTTCTTTGTTTTCTGCTGTTGCTCATGCTCAAGCCTCATTCCATAACAAAAACTGTAAGCCACTTAAAGCTGAGAACTGTATCATTTTTTCTTTTACTTCTCTTTCCTTTTATTTTAAAATTATTTATTCAGGGTCAAGCCAGTAGCAGCCTTTCAATAAATATCTCTAAATCACTGCTAAACTTGCTACTTGTTCAAAGATAGACATTTGACTTAGAAGGTGCACTAAATGCAAACCAGCGATAATAAAACCCCATGAAATGCAATTTCCTGTTTTGTATAATGCCAGAGTCAAATATTTTTACCATATCTCCTTGGAAATATAGAGCAAATCAAAACTGAAAAATGTAAGGAAGCTGTCCTTTATGGTTGCTAAAAATACAAAAACAAAGCATCAGGTTTTCCTAATTGTGGATCCCCACAGGTGATGAATCCAAGAGTAAGGCCAACAGTGACCATGTGTGGTGCCCTGGATAAGCCCCAAGCCACCTGTGCAGGTGTGGCTCCTCTTCCATTCTTTTCTTTGGTTTCTTAACACTTAAACCCTCTGCTGCAGGTGAGAAGCCAACTGGTGGGTATTTTCCCAATAACCAAGGCAAAGGGCCAGGAACCAGTTGGCAGGTGCCTTGTGTGGAGTATGTCATGTGAGCTGTCAGCTCCATCCTTGCTCTTCCTCAGAGCTCTTAGTGTTGCAGGGTGGCAGGGCACAGCAATGGAGGCAAGGGCCATGCTTCATTTTCCAAACTCTCCTGCCAGCTCTTCCAGACCTGATGGAAGTCTACCCATGAGAGGCACTGGCAGGAACCCAAAGCTGGTAGAAGAAATGAGCCTCCATTGTTTCCTACTCCCCACCCCCAGTACTGGGGACTTAACTCAGGGGCATTTATCCTTTGAGCCATGTCCCCATCTCTTTTTAGTTTTTTATTTTGAGATAGGTTCTCAATAAGTTGCTTAGGAACTCTGTAAGTTGCTGGAGGCTGGCTTTGAACTTGGGATCCTGTCTCAGCCTCCCATGCTGCTGGGATTATAGTTATGTACCACCATTCCCAGCTGTTTCCTGTGCTTGAAAGGGTCTCAGGCCATGTCAGCAGCAGCAGGGTGTGGGCCTCTGGTCATGCAGCCCATTAGCTCCAGCAGCAGCACTGGCGAAGCCCCCGGTAGGCCATCATCCCTATCCCTGTGTAATCCCCTCCTCTCTTGTGCTCACTAGCCCTGCACTGTCTTGCAGGCAGTTATCTCCATGAAATCACACTCCATGTGGACTATGTGCAAAAGACCTTACTGACATAGCTGCCAAGGTCAGAGCAGGAGTTCAACCACCAAATCTTGTGTACCAAAAAGCTTAGGAAAAAGGGCCCAGGGGTAAAGCCAAACTGAGCAAAGAGTGAGGAAATGCAGGCTGGAAGGAGTATTGCTACCGATAGAGCATGTAGGAAGCTTCCTCTGCAGTGAGAGAGGGCAGGAGCACCTGCCTGGGGCCACTGGGTGTCCTGTGAGCCTCAGTGTGAATGGGTGCAACAGAGCCTCTCCCTGCCACAGTCCGGCTGCAGCAAACTAGCCGGGGGTGGGGGTGGGGTGTGACGAACAACTTGTGTACATTGATACAGCAGGAGTGGGAGCCGTTTATTGTAGGACAGGAGGGGTATATATACATTCCACACAGCTTATCTTAATTAACATAAACTAGATACAGCAGTCGACCAATAAGGAATCTCCACACTTAATGGCTCGCTGGCATTACTTCACAAACCACTCCCTCTGCCAAAATGCCAGGCGCCATCTTGACTTGTTTACAGACCCTAACATCTCCCCAAGAGAAGTTCAGAGAAAAGGAGTGGAGGGGACACAGAGGAAGTAAAACCCTCAGGGATGCAGGAGAGTGGCCCACTGAGAAGCAAAGCATGCCCAGATTTCCACAGTCACACTGTACCACTTCACAGCTTTTGATGGCTTGCCTTGAGACACAAAGTGATGAGAAAATTGAGTGTCACTCCTTGGAGTCAAGATGGATTTAATAATATATTCTGATTTGAAAATCCCTTCAAGTTAAGATGGATTTGATGAGGCTGTAAAAACCCAAATTCTGTTTCAGCTATAAGTTTATTATTACCCAATTAGAAGTTCTTTCCTTTTCTTTCTCTGTTTTTTAGTTACTTGACTGGACTTGGCTTTAACAAACAGCATGCTGTAAAGCTGGCAGGTGGATGCCACTTTGGAATTTACAAACAGACTATGGCTTCATCTTCTTGGAGCACTCATTGTCTTGGGCTCTTCTTGTCGGCACAGTCTGATGAGGCCAATGGCCATGTTGAGCTGCTATGAAGAGGTCCATGTGGCAGGAAGCTGAGGGCTGCCAACAGCCTCACCAAGGAACTCTGAAGCAGCTGAGGCTTGACATGGCTCAGATGTGGCTGACACCTTGACTGTAGCACCAGAAGAGGTCCAGGGTCAGAGAACTGGGCTCAGCTGTTCCTGAATCCTTATGTATAGAAACCATGAGGTAATAAGTTTTGTATGCCTCTGAGTTTGGGTCACTGCACAGCATGGACGAACAACATGGACATTTTACCCCAACTCCCACTTCCTATCCATTCCTTCTCTATCTGTGGATCCAGAGCACTGACTCCATTCAAAAGTGAAAGGAAAGAAAAAAGTGGAAGGACAGAGATAAATAACCAATGACCCATTCAAAAACTGACTGCAAGGAGAGCAGGATCCCTTGAAAAGAGGAGGAATACAATAGATAAACTGAGAAAGAGCAGCAGTGTGGTGTGAGAAGGGTGTAAAGACAGGGGTAGATTTCAAGAGGAAATGTTCCTGATAGCAGAAAACTGGGCCCATACCTTTTAAAGGGGTTAGGGTAGTAGACAGGTGATTTCATCAGGCCATACCTAGATGTAAGAGAAATTGTGCATTTCCTTTGATTTCCACTTAATTCCACCATGTCAAGCCTCAGCTGCTTCAGAATTCCTTGGTGATGCTGTTGGTAGCCCTTAGCTTCCTGCCACATGGACCTCTTCATAGCAGCTCAACATGGTCACTGGTTTATCAGACTGTGATGACAAGAAGAGCCCAAGAGAATGAATACTCCAAGAAGATGAAGCCATAG